GAGAGAGAGAGAGAGAGAGAGAGAGAGAGAGAGAGAGAGAGAGAGAGAGAGAGATTATATATAACCTCCACTGCTGAAGACAATCTGCAAAAAGCAGACTTTACAGTTATGAATAAATTATTATATAATTAGCTAAAATTTTAAAACTAAGTTTACGTTAAGAATTATGAAAGTGTCAATATTTGCAGTTAATTTCCCTACATTATTCGTTATCTTGTATCGAATTGAGATATAGCACATGCTTTGTATAGGAAGGCTATCCATTAATTTGTCCCACATTGTGTTTCGCTCTAGATTCGTTGCTGAACAGTTCATTACAAAGTGTTCTCCAACATCAAGCAGACTTTCACCGCATACACGACATACATATTCAGTATCGTTATCTATTACAGCTGATAACAGCAGTGCTGGAACATTTCCACATAACAAATTTACCAGGTTACCTATTATCTCTCGCACGCATGGATTGGGCCTTGTTGCACTCCAGTGTTGAAGCGGCTTTAAACTTGTGTGACTTTTTTGCAAGTGCTTTAATTTTGGTTTTGCACTGACGGTTTCCTTCCATACTTCCGTCTGTTTTTGATGAATTTGTTCTTTAACCATTTTCATCCAATTGGTTTTGTTTGGAAACTCACCGGTTGCTAGGTAGTTTGTGATATAGTCCGTTAGGTTGTATGTTTCAAGTATTTTGTAGATATACGCTGCGAAACCAATACTTCGAGAGTTCTCCTGATGAATATGTGAGAATACTCTATATAGAAATAGATGCTTTTGCAAGGTGTCAGGCGGAGAAAGACAAAGGGAACCAAGAAATAAAAGATTTTGTTTGTCAATATATGCAGTTGTTTGCCAGATTCCAATAGCGCCAAGGGCTCCATGAGAACTGGTAGTGACCTTGAATTCTTTTTGCAGCAAAGGCATTAGCACGATTTAGTATTTTCTCTTCAGTTTGTGTTAGGTTCCACCAGACTTCGCTTCCATATAACATGGCTGGAAGGCCATATGATCTCCATACGTTCGCCACAATTGTTGGATTTAGTCCAGCAGGTCGTATTTTAGCTTATTAAAGCGCCAACGTAAGTCTTTCCCTTATTTTCTGCAGCCTTCGTTCGCTCCGTGCTGGAGAAATTCCCACTCAAGGAGATTCCGACATGCTCCCACGAACTTTTTTCTGTAATTTTTACACCGTTTAAATACCATTCCCTGCTCAGTTTGCAAACGGAATTTGTGGTAGTTCTTTCTCCGAAAGTCACTTCGACAGTTTTGCTCGAATTAAAATAAAATCTCCATTTCTTGCTATAGGATTCAATTGCATTTAGTAAGCATTGCAGTCCCTTTATCCTAAGTGACAATAAGGTGATGTCATCCGAAACCAACACCGAATTGCAATGGATATTGTCAATCTTGAGTCCACAGTCAATTGGTTTTAATATTTCAGGAATGTTATTGTTAAAGCAGAGAAATAGCCATGGCGATAGCACTCCTCCTTGTCTTACACCTGCTTGACAGGAAACATGTTAGAGTGCAGACTGTTTACAGAAACACAACAACTCAATATACCATACCAGTTTCTCAGAATTCTCCAGGATTTCCCATTAAATCCGAGATGAAACAATTTATAGAAGAGGCCATCTAGCCATACGGAGTCAAAGGCTTTCGAAGAGTCCAAAAAGCAGCAGTACACTTTGCTTCCTTTTTCTACGTTATGATTAATGATCTCTTGTAGAAAAAAACTGGATAATACCCAGCTTTTGTTTTTCTGATATGCAAACTGAAAATCGTTAGGGATACCGCTAGCCTTAAACATTGGAATCCAGCGGTTTAAAAGAATACGTTCAAAAATTTTTCCCATCACATTCAACAATGTTATAATACCTCGATAACTTTCCTCATCAAGTTTATTCTTTTTACCTTTTTTAAGAATCGAGAAGATATTACCTAAAGTTCAAGATTCAGCAACATATTCTATTTGACGAACTGCATTGAAGATCCTTGTCAAAGCTTGGCGCGTGAACGACCTTCCATACTTAAAATGTTCATAATTTATCGCATACACTCTGGGTCTCTTCTGCCTTGAATGGAATATCTAATGAATCTTCATTTCCATAACTTTCTTCTTCGATATTGTGAAGACTTTCTTCGACATGCGTTTGGAAGTTTTTATCGAAATCAGGATCATGTTTTGGAGTATACAGGTCTTCATAGTGCTCTCGCCATATACTAAGTAATTCCTGTTCGTCGTCTATGCATTTACCATCAACGAGTAAGGCATCATTTGTGTTTTGTGATTGCTTAGTCATGCGGGAAATTTTCCTGAAGCAGTCACTTCTGCCAATATCATGTTCTTTTTCTAAATGTTCTAGATCCTTCATTTCTTCATCATAAAATGCTCTCCGCAGTGCCTTACGAAAATCACGTTTAGCATTTTTGTAGTCAATAAAGGACTGATAATTTCGTCCTCTAGGTTTACCATTTCTTAGCCAGGTTCTTCTGCATAACTTGATCTTTTTGTTCAAAGCTGACAGGTTTGTATTCCAGTAACGCTTCAGAAATGGTTTAGACTTCTTAATTGGCACTGACGAGAGCGCTGCCGTTTTCAGATTGTGTGTTATCTTCTCAACATAATTCTCAATGTTTGCGATTGAGTCAAGGGATTGGTTTATCCATCAACAGCCTGAAAGGCCTCGCTCAATCTCGTCCTGATATTTCTTCACATAGATGTTATTCTTCAGTTTGTTCCACATCAAAAAATTTTTTGAACATTTTGGCTGTTTCGTCTTCAATATCATCCGCAGATCACAGTAAATTGGGAGGTGTTAAGAGAGATTTGTAGAACAACTTTCTATAACAGCACATTCAGCGATAAAGGTACTAAATTCTCTTGGAACAAATATGTGATCTCTAGCTGTCCTAATAAGTCCCTGGCTCCCATAAAATGTTTCAATGGGTCCTTTACACAAGCTCTGCGAGTTAACAGAAATAAATTTAAGTTATCTACTATTCTATGAACACAACGCCCTCTGGAATTGATTTTTGTAAAGCTTCTCTCTCCGGCTAGCTGTCCGATATGAGCATTCAAATCACCAAGTATGATAATGGATCCATTGTTACAAAGTCCTAACGATTCATCTTCCAGGAGTTTCAAACGATAATTAAATGTGTCAGCTGGTTCGGATGTCGTAGGCAGATAAACCCCAATAATATAAACATAGGTGTCATCTAGCAGTTTGACTCTCAATACCAGTATTCTGTCGAGTTCATTCATAGGATCAATACATATATTCATCTCTTTTCGCCACAGAAAGGAAATTCCGCCTTTTTCTCGTCGAGAAATCGAATCATCATTCCCCTCAGACGAGCATCTGCCCCAAGATGAGAATGAGCAGTCCACTGTTTCTAACAGCGAGAGGGAGTCTGAGTGAAGCCAATGTTCCTGTATAAAAATAATATCGCATTTATCATAGCCTGCGAACAGGCTCACTGGGAGAAAGGTGAGCCTGCACGGAACCATGCGTTTTATTCAATCATCCCCTTTTCGCATCTGCTAAACGCGAACCAATCAGCGTCGACTGCGATAAATAAACTGTCAACTGTCAAATTGACGCAAGGTGTGTACATTGTGCAACGAAGAAATACTGAATATTAAAATGTGTACATAATGTATATATGAACAATAATACAAAGCATTGGCGGGCCGCACAAAATATTACTCGGAAAAATATAGAATTTTTCAAATATTAAATAGACATCAATACACATACAAATATAAAGCCGAATAAAATTATCAATGTACAGTAATACTTCTACTATGTGCGACTGAAAGAACAATGTTCTCAATATTTGAAGCTATTACTAAAGTACGGTCAGATAGATTGGGATTTGGAATACCGAATACGTCAAAAAATTTTCTAACTGTGGTCTAAATAAATGATAAATGAGCATGTATTTATTAATTTCATTTATTAAATTGTCAGCACTGCAGTTTATACAATAAATAGTACAGCGTTTAATGTACGATATATATTTATATCTAAGTGACATGCCAGCGAGGATCAACAATATAATTATTCGTACACATTTGGGTATCTTTTGTATACCTTCGCTTGCTGACTTGCTCACTAATGAGAATAATCCGTGAAGCCACGACGACCTCAAAATGTACTATACTATAGTCTGATGTCAATCCGAAGACGAAGTTCAGAATACCGTTATAGAGGTTACAATTGGGCGAGTTGTCACGTGAGCTCTCGACCAATGAGATCGCTCTATTTTCCATCGTGTTGGCGAATAATTTTGGCATTCTAATTTGCATTGGACACAGAAGAACTCAAAAAATATATATAAATATTCATATTTTTCTATCAAAATGCAACCATGGCCTTAGTATTATAAAAGGACTGGCGATATGTGCAAGAATTTCTGAGGTAAACGTTATTTTTTAACCTGTTTTCGATGATTAAAGTTGGTCATGCCT